GAAGCCAGGACCCATGGAGCAACCAACCAACTCGCGCGCCAACTCGACCCATTTGGTGAGATTTTTTTTTTTCATTTTTATTTTATTTATTTTTTTGTTAGATTTTTAATCATTTTTTATTTAAACAAAAATAATAATAATCAATAATTATTACAAGTGATAAATTTAATATAAAATTAAGAGTAAACAATAACTCTTAATCTAAAATAAATCCTAACAAAAATAACATTTATTAAGGAAAATGGAAAGAGTTCATTTCCCTTTGATTTTTACAAATAAAAATATATAAAAAATATTTTTTTGAATTTAGCTAAATTGTTAGGATGATTCAAGAAATTACTTTTATTATAAAAAATATAAATAAAAAATTACTTATTTAAATAATTTTTTTTAAAAAATGCAATCTTTAAAGAAAATCAAAATAGTTTAATTTTCTTTAATTAATGCAAGTAATATTATTTTTTACTACAATAAAATTTGTTTCAATAAGAAAAAATGAATAATAAAAATAAATAAAAATAAAAGTGTTTGTTTAGAAACATATATTTTTAAATTTAACCAAAGAATTGGGATAATCCAAAAAGTTATTTTCACTAAATAAATATTTATTTAAATAATTATAAAAAAATAAACAATAAAAAAAATAAAAGTGTTTGTTTAAATGAATTTTTTTAATCATTATCGAAAATATATATTTGAATTTCACCAAAAAGTTGGGATAGTTTGAAAAAGTTATTTTTACTAAAAAGGGATTTATTTAAATAATAAGAAAAAAAATGAAAATAATAAATAGAAAGTAATAACAGAAAATAGGAAAAAACAATAACAATAAAAATTAAATAAATTGTTTATTTAAATATCTCAAGTAAGAATTTTAAGGAAAATTGAAAAAGCTTCATTTTTCTTAATTATTACCAAAAGAAAGGAATTTTCAAAATCTTGCTAAAAAGTTAGGATGATCCTAAAATCAATTTAATGATTTTTGGATTTTGTCGAAGAGTCAAAAAATTCTAAAAATTAAAAAATCTTAAAAATAAATTAAAAAATTAAATTTTGGATTTCGCCAAAGAGTCGGTATAATCTTAAAATCAGTTATAATAAATAAATAAAATATCCTATAATGAAATTTTGAGAATTTTGTGAATGATCAATTTTTTTGAAATTTTTTCTAAATAAAGATTTTCTATAAATTCCGTCAAAAGCATTGGAGAATTTATAGAATACGAAAATAATAATAATAATAATAATTTCACAACAAAAAATGTTTTTTATAAATAAACTTTAGGAAATTAATTTTAAATATAAAGAAGATTGTATTGTCAAAATTAAATGATAACACATGTTTAATCGAATAGGTAATATGAGGGTGCTAAAACCTTTCTCATTAGTAACCATACTCTCGGACCCAACCCTAATTTCATAGACTTAAGCGTCTTTTAGTAAATCTTAATTAATTTTAAGATTTATATTAAAAAATGATATTTTTTTGGGTAGCTAATTATACCTCTACAAAAAAAAGATTGGTGGCAACTCCATAAATTTTCACCAAGTCTAGCAATCGAGTCCCACAAACAAAAAATTATTATGACAATTTTAGTTTATTTTAAAGTTATGGAGCCTCTTATGATAGGAGTTTTAATTTCAATTTATTTTTAAAAGTTGTGAAACCTCTGATGAGAGGAGTTTTCATTTCAAATTATTTAAAGAAAAATTGTTAAGTCTTTGATGCGTCAACTTTTAAGTTTATTGGCACTAGTTTCCAAATTAAAAAAAAAAAAGAAAAAAACATGTGTTTTGGATTGTTGAATCAAACAAAATTGTTTTTTGTATCTTTATTTTATTCCTGATTCTCAATAATGTGTAAACAGGGATAACTATAGGCACCTAATTTTATTCGGATAAATTAGAATAAGTCTCAATTTATATCCTGATTTTAATTTGTTCGATTTGAGTCTGTTTAAGAATTTTAATTGGGTTTAACTTGTTTATTTCATATTGGGCTAAATTAGGACAATGCCTAATCCAATTCAGAGTTGGGCTAGATTTGGGTTGGAGGTGAAAGACCAAATTGAGTCCAAATTGCAACGAGGTCCAAATTTTTTAAAATTTTTATTAATCTAAAAATTTTAAAAAGTAAAAAAAAAAAAATCACAAACAGCTTAGCATGGTGCTTTGCATAGCACCAGCACCCCATAGACTTGCAGCTTTTCCCTTGTTAGATTCCCATCCATTTACCAACCACCATAGCATTGCAATTATGATGTAACCATCATAACCAACAAAAAATCCACTAGTAATAAGATTTCAATCCCAAAAACTAAAGGATTTGATCAAAAAAATTAACACAATAACATTGAGTCAAAATCATTAGAAAGTAAAAGGAATTTTTGGATGAAAACCATTATAGTCTCCTCTATTACCACCCAATACCATTTGGCCATCACCCACCATCCACACCAAACAAGACCACCATTAACAGAACCCTAACACCACTATCAAATTGGCCTAGCACTCATACTAATTACCACTATTGACGTTTCCCCATAATTTAGCCTAACCTAGCCTTTCATCAAATAGGCCCTTTCCTGGTTATTTCCCAAGTCCCTAAATCACAACACCACCTTTATAAAAAAAGCCCTATCGCCAATAGCTTATTTTTAGACAACAAGAATTCAAAAAAAATTTTGCTCAAAATCCTTTTATTCCTTAACCCAAAAAAATAAAAATAAATTGTAAAAAAAACCATAAACTAGGCAAGATAGCAACCTAGATCTAAAGCACCCAAACACACAAAAGAAAAGCAACAAAAAAAAAAAACTTGTTCCCTTTCGATGAACCAAAATCCAAAAAAAAAAAAAATTCTTGGTTTAGGAGTGCTATAGGTCGTTTCGACCTTTGATTTTTTGTGTAAAGGGAGTTTGGGACATGGAGAGAAACATAGTTTGAGTTTGTAGTGTTTTGAGTGCCGAAGGGGAAGGGTTTTTGTTAAAGACCAATGATTTTAGGCTCGAACCTATGCCATTCAAGATTGTTTTAGGCCAAACGGAGGTTGGATTTGAAATGAGGGAGTCAAAAGAATTTAATGATGGCTGTTGTGTTTTTTGTTTTTAAAAAGTTGAGAGAGAGTTTTTGGTTTTTTATTGAGAAAAAAAAGGTTAAAATATTTTTTAAAAATTCTATTTTATAGATAAAAAAAAACCTACTTGAGGGTCTATGCGTGGACGTAACGTGGATCAAGGGTTAGTATGCTCAACCTAGCTACAGCTTTTGCCAACAACCCTAAACCAATTCAACTTCCACTCTTGAATCGGCCTAAATTGTTCCTAAACTGCTCTTAAACTTCTATAAACCATTCATGAACCACCTGTTAAATCGCATGAATTGCGCCTGGATTACTTGAACCACGTCGAATCTGTCTGAACCACCATTAAACCGTTGACCACCTTTGATCGATCTTTTTGGGTAATTTTAATTATTTTTTATTTTTAATATATATTTGTTGTGCATTTATCTATGCATATTTAAATTCTAAATTTTTAAAATAAGTATATATTAAAAAGGCAAGTGCTAAGATTTTTTCTTACAAAAAAAAAATAATAATAAAATATAAAGAATGAAAACTTTTCAAGGATGAGATATCATAGAAATTTGAGTAGTGATTTTTTAAAAAATTTCTTGGTGAGAATATTTTTCTAAAATGTTACCAAAGTATTGGAGTATTTAAAAATATATTCAATACAAAAATATTTTCTTACTTTTTTTAATTAAAAAATAAAAGATTAAAAAAAAGGTTTCATATAATAATGTATAAATATTAATTGCATTAATTAATTAAAAATACGAATATCCGATGATGAGATTTTAAAAAAATTCGCATAGTGATTCCTACAAAATCTCTATGTGAGAAAAGTGTTTTTTAAATATTACGAACATATTAGAGTATTTATAAAAAAACTTCAATGTAAAAAATTTACTTTTTCTTTATTAAAAATGCGAAAATGATCAAAAATAATAATAAAAAGGAAAATTAATAAACAAATTATTCTCTATAAAAGAGAATAAATATTTTATAAATAAAATAAAATGAAAGGTAGATACATAAATAATTGGTACATACCTCATTGTGCTTTATTATTTGCTTTGCATCTATATCATTCAATCACGGAAAAATAAAAGCAAATCTTAGAAGATGAGATTATAAGAAAATTCAAGTAAAGATTCTTAAAAAATCTCAAAGTGAGTTTTTTTTTTTTTAAATGTTACCAATATTGTAACATTTTAAAAGTTTTTCAATAACAAGATACTAATTTATTTTTTAAATAAAAATGGAATAATATTTTTTAAAAAAATTAAAAAAATAGAAAATTTTGTAAAAATAGTGAAATAATAAAAAATAAATAAAAACAAAAAGGCCAAAATTATAAAAAAAAAAAAGGAAGTTAAGAAAATTATTTTTAAATATAAAAATTAAGATATTTTGTTAAACTAAAAGATAACACATAATTAATTGGTGTTGTTTTTAAAAAAGATGTTATGGAGGTGTTAATTTTTTTTATGCATAATTATATTTTCGAACTCAAATTATTTTTACAAATCTAAAAATTATCTTTTTAATAAATTTTAATTAATTTTAAAATTTTATTAAAAAATAAATTTTAATAAATAATCAATCGTACTTCAAAAAATTAACGATGACTCATCGCGTTTTTAAAATTCGTCTTACCCCGAAATTGTTACGAGGCCATCTTAATCATTTCATTAAATTACTATATTGATAATTGAAAAAAAAGATATTCACGTGAAACGCAAATCGAATATTCACGTAGCGTGCTATGTAATTTACAATTTGGATATTACGTTTATTTTAACAAAATAATTTGACAAAAAGATCAACCTTACCATTTAAAAAAGTTACGGATCAAATAAATCAATTCAAAAATTAAGAACTAAAATAGAATCGAAATAAAAAGTTAATAACCATACCCGTTTGTTTGAATTTGACATGAAATTGATTTGATCCCTACAAGAAATATTAACTTCATTTCACGTTGATGAGTTTGGGCATTGGTACGATGCCTTGAGCTTTATTTGTTTGTACGTACAATTAAACTCAACTTTAATTGAGCTGTTTAAGAACAATTCGGCTTGGATACATTCTGACAGCAGCCCAAGAAAGTAGAAAACCAGCAACAATTCAAAATATACTCTCATATGTCCAAACAAAGAATATCTGCTAGGAATACCTCCCTGCCTCACAACAAATTTTAGGCTGAGTTTATAACCTTGTATTGCTACAATCTAGAGGTGAAAACATGATTCACAAATTTACAAGTCTAACTTTAAGGGCATGCACGTGGATTGATGAATGTTCTTTTCTAAACATTTCATGGTTACCTGACTTTCTTGTCTAAGCTTTAAATGATCAGGGGCAGTCAGGGCTTCGACCAGGACCACCATAGTAAAAGTAGCTGCCCCAATTGCCACCCTTGCCAATTTGCACATCATAGCAGTTGGATTGCTCAGTGAAAGTGCCAATGTCTTTAGGAACCCTGAGATTATTGGATCCATCAACAATTTGAATATTCTTAAAGTAACTAGCTTTCCCAAAACCTTCTTTGGGGAAATGGCCACTACCCATTTGGGTGGAAGTATGCTGTCCATCTGATTCCGAGTTTACAACCTCTCCTCCCCACTCAATCATGGAGGCACTGTCGGACAGGTAGGAAAAGAGGAAGGCTGGCCAGTAACCTAGCACATAGTCATTACCAAATTGCATCCACCAGTTCCCCTCGTTTGGGTCCTGCAGCCGCATATTCATCCAATTGTGCACATCTTTAAAATCATTTGGAGATAAATACATGCATGGACGTAAAACATTTTCTGCGTCTCTAGTCTATAATTAATATGAACATAATTAATAAATAGTGAATTCATCATTACAAACACACACACACACACACACATATATATATATATATATATTTGAGATTACGACTGGGCTAAAAGTTTAATACTCTACAAATGAGCTAAAAGTATCTATATCTTGTGAGTAGTAAGATTGCCCAACAAAAGCTTGAGCATTTCTCTATCATAATTTGGTGAAGTGTATGTTTTCCTTTTTATTTCCACACACTGCTATTTGAGGTTATTCATTTATGAAATCCCTGCTAATGTTTTATGGTAGATTCTTACCTTCCACATAAGTAAGCTTATATCATATTGGGAACCATGATAACCAGAAACAGGATAGATGGTAGCACCCATGGCTATTTCATTGTTGATTTGAATGAAGCCTGAGCAGAGGAGATTATAGCAACCAGTGGCTTGATATGCATCACTCTGTTGTATTAATTTCCCAGAAATGGAAAAAGAGAAATAAAATTAAAAAAAAGAAACAGTTAGACAACAGTTAAATAAATTGCATAATGAATTGTGCCATGGAGTCTTACAGTCCAATAAGTGAAGAGTCTAGTGCGGTTATCTCCATATAAATCTGGACTCACCTATTAAATTAGACAGAAGAGAAGACAGAGGCCAATGAGTTAAATATTGGGTCTAAAACCGTTGGCATTAGAGAAAAATAATGGACATTGTTGTTAGGTACCTGCCAACCTGCTTCAATGCTATTGAGATCTTCGCCAAAAGAACCTCCCAAGATCCAGATTTGGGACAAGCTGAATTCATTAGATTGCTGTATTTTGGGTTCCCAAACGTTTATGGTTGCCTTAGCTCCATAATACTTATCTCCATCCACATAAGCTATTGCATGCTAGAGGCTCCAAAGACACGGGAAAAAAAACATATATAGCACGTATCAATTGAAGATCAAGAATCAATTTTCGTGTTTACCATTTTTATATCCGTCAACGAGTTGTTATTGATCAAATTCAAGTACATTTGATAGTAGTTTCCATGTTCAGGAGGATTAGAACATAAAGTAGCTGGACAAGTAGTAGTATAAAACTGGTGCTTTCGCAATAATTAAGGCTTTGCCTACGGGGCAGAACCAGATGGACGCATAGGGTGTAAATAGACACTCCAAAATTAGGAAAAATAAGAAAATTTGAATGAATTTTTTTTTTTTTTGGAAACTATCAAAATTGTCTTTTGAACATCCTCAAAGAGCAAAAACAAGAAAAGAAAAATTTTTTTTCTGAAAACTCTCAAAATTTTCTCCTCAATACCCTTAAATAACCAAAAAACAAGTAAATTTGAAGAAATTTTGGGAACATCTCAAAAATTTCCCATCTACACTTTTTCATTATATAAAATTGATAAATCCAGTCGCCTTTTTTGTATATATTATAAGTGTATACAAAAACAATTTCTGAATCGACCACTATGCCCAACCGTTACATATATCTTTCCTTGAGAAAATTGTGAATGTGCAGTAACAGTACTACCTGATGGCCACTTTGACTGATGAGGTCAGGAGCTGCAGACCTTGGTTGAGGGATGGTTATGTGCTTCTTTTTACCAAATGCTTTGATAGAGCTTGCTCTTAACAAATCATCTTTTTTAGTTCTTCTTACGGGAATTGTTCCCTCTGGACACCTTCCATTCAAGTGCCACAGCTGTGTAATGGTCCTTGATGATGAAACCTTGTTTTGAGCAAAAATACCTTCTGGGTGAAAATTTGGTGTCATCTGTATTAACATAAAAGGGAATAGACGACCTTTAGAAGACCGTGTAAGAAATGCTTTAAACGTAATCTTCATAAATCAAAGGTTAAAGAAGAGTAATCCACCTGAATTGTATGGTTTTTGAGTAAAGGATGATCAAAAGATGGTTGATGGGTGATTTTGATGCAGTCGATTATATCTCCGTCTGGGCTCTGTTTAAGGCATACATACACACGAAGTTGCTTAACAAATGGGAATCATTTTAGTAATAAATTTTATCAGACAAAGGGCAGGCACAAGCGAACAAGTGGCAAGGAAGAGATAGAAACTGAATAATTAATAGAAGAAACTGAATTCTATTATATGAAATGATAACTTAGAGTAGTTTATATATGCAGCGGAGTAACCGAATTCTGACCTTGATAGATTTAACAGCAGGCTTGTTCAAGAGCTTCAACTGGGTTTGAACCTCCAGATCTTGAGTAGATGAGCTGCTGCTTCTGCTAGCTGTAGTGGGTGTCATCTCTATAAAAAAAACCAACAAGATGCACAACATGAGCAAGAACCTGCTCTTCTCTCTGCTCAGAAAACACTGCATCCCCATAGTCATTAGCACCAAAAAAAAAAAAAAAAAAAAGGTAAAGATGGCTTCCAGCTAGTACCCTAGAGGTTAAGGCAAGAAGAAAGCAATGAAATAAAAGCTTGGGGATATTGGGGATGAGCTTGACATTGAACTGTATATCCTGCACAACCCTCCACCAACCTTGGCTATTATAAAACAGACGAATCTTTTTAAGACAAAAACACAAGGGTCCTAGCTAGCTATTTTTTCCACAAGAATCCAAGCCAACCGCCGACGCCTCTCTCACTCACTAGTCTTTGCTAAAAAGGATGGGTGAAATGACGAAGATGGATAAATTGACAAGAAGAGACGGTTATTTTTGGTTGTTAGAAAGAAAGAAAGGAGATACACATGATCCATGTAATTGTCTTTCTTTTTTTTACTATGATACCTCTTTCTTGGTGTTCCACTAGTAATAGTTTTCAGTGGGGTGTGCCGTGAGCATAAGGTTTGTTTTGTCCTCATTCGAAACGAGACAGACTTTTTAGCAAGCGACACAGTTTTTTGTCCACTAATTCACGTGAATCTACATATTCCTCTCCTCTATTTCCAAAAAAAAAAAGCTACTAAAATCCAAAATAAACAATGGCATTGTATTCAGAGTAATGACAAAACGATATCAAAGTCTAACCCTTTTTTATCATCTATTACCCATTCAATTCTTTAGAACCTAGCATGCTCACAATTATCATTTCTGTAAGCTTTTATGGTAATAGGTTATGCACGTGAGGTGAGCATTTGATTTGATGATAGATATGTTTATTTTCAGTTTAAAGCACTGCCTAATTATTTCAGAATCGAGAAAAGAAAAGTTTCATATATATATATATATATAGAGAGAGAGAGAGAGAGAGAGAAATAGATTACAATTTTATATGAGAAAATAAATCAAAATTAAACATAGTTAGTAATAAAAACTTGTGTATATAGCAGTGAGGATGGTAACCAGTGAATAAAAAAAGAAAAAAAAAGGCCAAAGGAATAGCTTTAGGGTTTTAACCTTGTACATATGAAAAAGTGTTTCAAGGATCGAAGACAACCGAATGACACACACAACCCACTTCAATTATAAGCACTAAGTGGAGCCCTTGTGCAAGACGTACAAAATTTGTAGTGCACCACTAAATGCTAAAACTATTGGCTTTAAGTAATTTAGTTGACAAAATCTTTGGACACTTAGCTATTTTATGATCAACTTAAACATTAGCTATTTTATGATCAACTTAAACATCATTTCTTACTTTGTTTATATGATTTATATCTGTTAATTTATTAACTGTTCAATTTTCTTAAACATAATTTCGTATAGTTTTATAACCTATCATTCAATTTCATGCTCTCTATATATAGGATCATTGTGTAAAATTTCAATTTCATTAAAATCTCGTAGATGGTTTTCGACTTCACAAAAATTTCAATCATATATATTATAAACATTCTAAATTTTCTATCCATTGATGTAATATATATAGATTTGAAATTCACTTGAGATTTTACTTGCATGATAAGTATATATGAATTTGTTGTCAAAATAAAAAATTAGTTTGTTTATATTATTCATTCAAGTGTAAGAATTAATAAGGTTTACGTTGATATAGCTTGAAAACTTTTCTTAATATATATTAGTATTTAAGAGCAGAAAAGCCCGAAAGGAAGCATCAGATGAGAAGCTTTCACGTATAACTATTAATATTTTATTATAATAATATTACAAAATTAGAAAAAAAATAAAATTTGTTTTTATAAAAGAAATATTAAGATTTTCAATAATCATATAATCTATTAATAAAATATTAAATTTTTAGTTTTAATTATTAAAATTTAAATTTGAAAACTTTAAATAAAATAATATTGAGATTTTATGGGAAGGAAAAAGGGTTGAGATCTATTTCAATTTCTACATGAAATTGAAATAGAAAAAGATGTAAACGAAGAATAGCAAGACTTGTCGCAAGAGGCAATACTTACAAGAAGCAAGTTGGAGATAGAGATAAGAGCAAAATTGGGGCAAAGGCATTTATTGCTACTTGTCATTATGCTACAATTACAATAGATCCACACAAAAAGCATTACTGCCTCTCCACCTCGCCCTTCCTTTCCCTCCTTATGTGGTTCTTCATTTCCGATTCAAATTGAAAGCTGATAGCCATGGCACATTTTAGGATAAGCAAACTTTGAGACAAAAAAAGAAAAAACAAAAAACAAGGGCCAAGTCATGATTTTTTGTCTTTAGAGACCAAACCAATTATGTACTAAAAGGTATGCACTTCACTAAAATTGTATAAATTATCAAAATTTGAATTCAATAAAGGTTATCACATGGAATGCATTTTACCTTCAATTCTTTTTTATTATAATAAAAAATATATTATTTAAGGATCCGCCATTTATAGGTATAGATTGCATATAAAATTTGATAAATCTCTTACAATTTTAAATTGTAATTTATTAATAATTATGCAATAATTATAGGTGATATGTTATTTATAAAATACATACTTCTTTTCCAGGTGCATTAAATTGTATATTTATAATGTGAGGATAATAAAGAGATTCAAGTTACAGATTTAAATAAGCAGAAAAACAGGATTACAACATTCAAATGAGTAGATTAGAAAGAGATATAATTTTAACTTGAATTTAAAATTTTTAATCCTTCTCTAATTACGGATCAGTCTTCCATTCAATATAATTTTTTTGAAAAGTAAAATATAAACTATTTTTTTACCCGATTTTCTGGATTTTTCTATTTTATTTTTCATGACTTTAATTTTTACTTTATCTTAAATTAAAGTATATACATATTTTTATTGATCTACTATATATGTTCATTCAATTGTAGTGTATCTTTTTGTAATAACAATGTTGGTATATCTTTTAAGTGGAAATTCAAACACACAAATCAATTACTCATAACTTGTTTCATTTCTATTTATTCTTCATTATAGTTTTAATCTTTTTTCTTATTCACAAATATAATGTAGAAAAAATTGCATAATTTCATGTTAAAATAAATTGAATGATATTTAGGTTAAATGATAGTTTGATTACTTAATTCTAATTCTTTTTGCAATCAAATAAAAAATTTTATGCGGCCATGATGGCTAGTGACTCAGGAAATGAAGCCTCAATGATGCCTACGAACGAGGTTAGGGCCAAGCTAAGAGGATTTAGCCGTTGGCTCGAGCCATTATCATGTGAGGAAACAAATTGAGTACACTGACTCAGGTCTCTGGCCTCGGGTGTTACAGTCCAAATATTTGAAGGGAAAATCCTTTTTCATACAGGTCAAAGGGCACAACGCTTCTTTTACATGGCATAATATTTGTTCAAGTAGATAATTGGTGAAAAAGGATTGTTCTTAATGGTTAGGGCTAAAAGTTGCTTTTATTAACAGATTAACTACGGAATAAAGACAAAATTAAATGGTGATTATTTTAATTTTTAGTGACAAAAATCCAACGGATTTCATCGTTAAAGACTTAGTATTAGCAACGGAAAGTGAATCCATCACCAAATTCCTCAGTACACATTGGGGGCAACATTTTTGTGTACGCACCAAATTTGGCAACCAATACAGTCATGGAAATCTATTGCTAATACTAATAATACCAATGGATACAGTGACGAAAAACTTTCATCGCCAATAATCATATATTTATAATTCTTTAATTTTTAAAATTAATTAAATTTTGAAAATTTTTTTTTAGAAAAAATTATCGATGGAAATTTGCAATGAAGTTTTTTCTATTGCTAATGGTCGGCAAATTAGTATTAATGACATAATTCCATCGCTAAATTTCGTAGCTGTTGTTCATTTAATTTAAAAGTCAAATCCTACTTTTCTTTCCTCCTTCCATGTTTTCATTCTCTTTCCTCCTCTCCCATCCTCCCCCAACCTTTGCCTGCACCCTTTCTATCCCACTTGATTCCGGCAACGACCTGCTTCCTCTGACCATCGGAGGCATCCCCACAGTCAATTAGACCAGATGCACCCTTTAACCATCAAAAACAGCTTTCAGAAAGCCCTTAAACAGCCCCTACATGTCACCCTTTTCACATTGTTTTTTGATGCACCATCGACAACTTTGCCCTATCCTTAAGCCTAAATAAAACCCTTAAATCCACCATAATTCTTAGCCTCAAATATCTTTAGGAAAATCCCCTATTTGTTGTTTTTTTTTATGGGATTTTTTTTTTCAAATTTCTTTTTTTTTTTACAATTTTATTTTAGAGCTTTTTTAGGGTTTTTTAATATGTTATCCAGATTATGTGTGAAATTGTTGTGAAATTGTTGATGAGTTGCTAAATTGTTGATGAGATTGTAAAATTGTTTTGAAATTATTGATGAGATTATGAAATTGTTGATGACATTGTGAAATTGTTAATGAGATTGTGAAATTATTGTGCAATTTCTGGATTTTGTGTAGAATTATTATGGAAATTGTAATGCATATTTGGAATTTGTGGAATTTTTATGGAATTGTGAAATTAATTTTTAATTTATTAAATTGAAATGGAATTTATGAAATTTATGTCAAACTTGTCGAATTTGTGTAATTTATGAAATTAATATAGATCATTAATTAATTGCTGAGGATATTAAATTCTAATATATCCAATTTGTTTTGAATAATTTGAAATCATCTTATGATATTTTTGAATCAATTAGGCTTGCAAAATGGATAGAGATAGATCTTGCATGTATCATTGGTTAGATGCAAAGCATTTATTGGTTTGCAATTTCTTAAACAAAATTTGTTAGTGGGAATAGAATTAAGTGTCCTTGTACCAAAGTCAAAATCAATAATTTTATCAGGTTAATAATGTGTGTAAGCACCTTTATTATAAAGTTTTTAGTATTGGTTATACAAATTGGTATGTCCATGGAAAAGTTTAAGAAGGTCAATTATCAAGAAGCATAGATGATGAATTTGATCCAATGTATCAATCAAAAATAGAAAATCTATATAGCAAAACGATTTTGGATGCTCTATATCCAAATTTTGACTTAAATGCTAATTTTGGTAATGAGTCAAGATATGAGGAGCAATAATTGAATTCTAGGACCAAACTTTTATTTTTTGATGAATGATACAAACAAACTGCTATGGTTAGGTAGTACAAAGCACATGACATTATCTATTATGTTGCAACTTTTAAATTGTAAGTCAGAGTTTAATATAAGTTAAGCATGTTTTGATCATCTAATTGTAATTATAAAGGGAATATTTTCAGAAGATCATAATATGCAAGAAAACTTTTATCAAATGAAGAATATGGTGAAATTTGACCTTGATTTAGTAAAAATACATGCATGTGAGAACAATTTCATGCCTTTTATAAAGAGAATG